TGGTGGAGATCTGGGAAGCCCTGACAGCTCCTGCAGCAGGAGGTGCAGTGTTCTGTCCTCTAGTCTTCACTCCGAGTAATGCATGATTGACTCCACATAGTTCCCTGGAAAGAGCCCCGTCACTCCATTCATGACCCCCTCATACCAGCCGTCATCATTTTTCTTGATGACATAAATGATGGCACCTTCCTGAAATGACAGCTCATCTTCTTTGTCCTTCGTGTAGTCATAGATCGCCACCACTAGGAAAGAACAGAGCATGACTGTTAGGAGAGGTACAGGGAGGAGGAAGAAAATCAACCTAGCTCATACAAAGCTCTCCATGTTCAAGGCAATCTGGGCAAACTGCACTGCCTCACCTCTACGAGCACAGAATGACCTGCTGAGAGGGGCAGTTTCTTCCAACCCCTTTTATAAGACCTCATCTTTTGAAGCACGTGAGCCAGGACTACTTTAATTCTTCTACTACCATCACCACAGGAAAAGTTTACATAATAAACTGGAATTTGGTGTGGAATGATACAAGGAGGTGGATGTAACTCCACACAGCTATGACCACTCAAACCTACTCCAAGATTCATGTGTTAGATGTATGTGCAAAACGAGATCTCTGCACCGCTAACAGTCATCAGGGAGACATGGAAGAGGGAGAGTAATAAGAGTTCTCTTTGGATCACAGTAAGAATGAGCCAAAGCTAACGTCCCAGATTCCATCTACCTTAGCTACCTCCACATTAAAATCTGTAAAATGCGTACATGCAGCCCCAGTAGCTAGAAGTCACTCCCAGAATGTACAGGGCCAAGGTGGGCGAATCCCAGTCAGGAGCTAGGAAGAAGTAAGGTGGTTCTCTGAAACAAAGCATACACCTACTGTATCAGGACATTTTTCTTACAGCTGCAGAGTATTTTACTGAAGGCACGAAACCTGTTAGGAAAGTCAAAGAAATTGGACAAGGACTGGCAAATATTAAAGAGAGCATTGCCCTGAAATGGCAGAAAACAGACATCAACTTGATATGTTTTTCCATTCGCAGTCCTATCATTATGTGTTCCACACAGAAAATTAGCTGTGCCAGACTCTGAATACTTTAACAAAGAGCATCACTCCCTGCTTTGAGCACTTGGCAATGAAACCTGCAGTGCTGCCATTGAAACAAAATGGATGTTGGACAGGGATCCTAAAATCTTGTACTGGGGATAGAAGGGAAGATACTGTAAACCAAACCAAGGAGGAAAAAAAAAAACCAAACTAACAGCATGTGTTCATAAGCACAGTGTCCAAGAGTCCTACTGAAGTCATTGTTCTTGTCAAAAGAAAAGAGGTCATTTCCTTTTGAGGGAGCAAAGGAATCAATACAAATTGGGAAACCTGGATCCTGAAGAGATCATGAAGTAAAATACACAAATCAATCCTGGTGGAGAATCGGAGTAGGTACAGAGAATTTTTTTTTTTTTTAAATAAATCTCCCAAACAGGAGATTTGTATCATTTGAGCAGAACATATTTAAAAAACACATGTCCCTGGGCTCTACACTTATATGAGTATGGTTGTTAAGTAATTCATTCTAACTAGTTTTAGACATACCATTCTAAGGAAACAAAACACAAATGAGTAAATTTTTAGCTTGAAAAACAGAAGTCACTAAATGAACACGATACATTCAAAGTCCTTCAAAACTCCTTTTTAACTACTCTCTATACCTGTTCATTTAAAAACATTTCTTCCTAGATTCACTGTGCTGCTGTTCTTCATTCTCTTGATAATAATAATCCAAGGATCACGGTAACTTCCAACTCCTTTCTTTCTCATTTTTGAGCACACTCTAGAGTCCCTTCTGATACTGACTGGATTCATTATTTCATAATCACAAGTAGGACACTGTTCCCTCAGTTTGTGATGAAAATTTGCTTCTTGTTAAGCCTCTTACAAAGTCACCTGAAGCCTGGTTTTGGTTTTGCATCACCATTGCTTCCTCCTGCATGGTACTTTTGTATTGGCAACATTCCTCTCTCTAAAAGGCTGTTTAATCCTCCTGTCTGTAGTCCCACCAGTTCAAGCTGTGTGCTTGTCACGTACCACAAATTACCAGGAGCCCAGGCCAGTGTTGCAAAAAGGCTCCAGATGAGACAGGAAGCAGCGATACTGACTCAGGAGGTGGCATTCTTCCCTGCTAGACTGAGCCAGGAATTCTTTTAATTTCAATGCAGATATGAAAAACAGAATTACTCATTTAGGTTAATATTCTTCTCATCAGGGATCTTTGCTTCTTCAACAGTTACACACAGTTTGGCTAAATTCTGTTACATCAAACTGACCACAGGTGTAGGCCAGACTGATTATCCAACTGAAATCTAGTAGCTGTGACCACATGCTTTCTCTATGTGGTATAAAGCCAATTTTTCCTTCCAGATATCCATTTCTGTTCATCTGATTCGCAAAGTTGAGACATTTTCTTACCTTTTCATGCCACACACCCAGACACACAGCTGAATGGAAAACTGCAGCGTGCTTTGCTGGACATTGCTGGTTGGGTGTTGCTATTACAGCCATGTGGTACCATCCTCATGTTCAATGTACCCAGTAACTGTATCCCACCTAAAAGCTTCTCTGTCTGTTCAAAATGGATATGCTATTCACTTCCTTCCTCAGATGTAGGTTAGAGCATGTCTTAATGTTAAATACCACCTCCTACGCTGCACAACCACTTTAAGGACAGCATCATACTGAATCCTATCTCATCCCATAGCAACCCTCTGTACTGACACCTCCTTCCAGCAGTTTTGTCTGCTTTGAAATGTGTGGCACAGAGTAGCACTTACAGGAACTTAAAAGGAGTTGCCATAGGAATAATTATTTTGCAGAAGATAAAGCATTATTACTTCACAGCAGGATAAGTATACACATTCTTTGAGTATGAAAGTCCTCTCTTAGCATGGGGCTTTCCATTAATTTTAAAGCTTGTCTGCTATAAAGCTGAGCACTTCTCCCCCAACTCCAGCAAAGCAGTCAAATCTCAAGACATGGGCTGAACAGAAGTAGGGCTATCCATGTAACTACAACAGAAACCACACCTATGACAATATCTCTTTTTTAATGGTGTCCACAAAAAAAGTAGTTTTACTACTATTTAACAGTTCTTCATACATTGTAAGCACTTTAAATTTTTATTACTTTTATGAGTGTTTCTAAGAACAGACGAACCTTTCAGATGTTCTAGTCCTCTAGTTTTCAAAATACAGATCAAAATTATGTTTTTGCATGGGACTCTACATCAGTACAAGAGAATGTTTGGTTTCCTACACTTTTGCTTTTCTGCAGGAAAAACGTTCTGACTAAAAGCCTGACTTTCTCCAGATTATCTTTAAAGAATCCCACTACAGTTTTTGTATCCCATGTGATTTTCCCTATAAACACCAAACTACAAGTGCCTAGACTGTCTGCCAAGATGGAACAGATCTGTGCATATATGCACCTATATAAATTGTTTTAGTTCACAAGCTCATAGAAGTCACACAGAAAAGCAGATCAGAACAGTACGCTGTAATTCAAATCCCATCGTTTCTTCAAACAGAAAGTTGTCTTTCCCAGGCCACGTGCCACATGATTTCATGGCTTCTCTTCCCCACAAACAGACCCCCCCGCGCCCTTTGCATTAGTATGAGAAACTACAAACAGGCAATGCACATCAGGGTCCTCTTTTTTTCTCCTTTGCTCCTAGCTGAAATGCCACTGAGGATTTGCTGTGGGCCAGGTGGCAGGAATAACAGAAACATAACAAAGATAGTGATACAAATGTAAAATTAGGCTAAAGAGTGTCTTAATGCCTGCAAAAATACAGAGGGAAATCTTGAGACTCACTCTCCTATCAAAAAGTAACATGCCTGCCAATCTTCATCCAGCACAAAATACATCAACCACAGTGAAACTGAGCAGATACTGTGCATTCCTAAGATTGCCTGATAGGGAGGAGTTTGTTAAGTAATGCAGCACATCCAGTATTTCCTGAAATGACCTGTACTGGTCCCAACTTGAAGAAATTTGCCATCCTCCCCACCCCGCAAAATGCAACATCAGGAACCCCACCCCAATGATGGGGTAATGTCAGGTAACTACTATGAATAACAGCAATACCCTCCAAACTGCATAGCAAGAAGAGTACTTTGTATATGAGATCCCTGTTTTCCCGGTCTTCCCTCATGGAAATGAGCTTCCCTGACAAGAATCAGCTGAAGCAACTTTTAATCAAACAAAGAGCCTGTGTGCATCAACAGAATAATAGTGACACTTGCTGTCAATCAGGGGCCTGGAGAGGTCAATAGATAAAGCGAGTCATGTAAACACCTACAAGTCAGCCACTTGGACAAGTGGTCTCAGCTTGTCAGCAAAGCTGGGGTACTGCTTACACTAAACACTAACACCAGCTAGACAGAGGGCAGGGGAATAACAACAAAAACCCTGTCACATATTCCTCCACCTCCCTAGGAACAGTAATATTTTATTTTGGCTGGAGTTGGCAGAAGATGCCTCGTCCATCTTCTTTTTTTCCTTTTCCTCCCCTCAAGTCCTGCACTGGGTTTATCTTTGCAGCATTCTTGACTTTTTTTCCTTGATACAGTCTGAGTGCATCTAACGGTCACTCAGCCGAGAGGCCTAGTTGCTTGCAACATTAGATTTTATATCACCACTAAGACCTACATTGACCCTGCTTCACAGGAGAACACCAGGCGGTAGATGTTTTCATATTCAAGTGCCCCTAAGCCACTTACCTACTCAGTTTATTTTACCTGTAGTTTTACACCAGCATGCCTCCACACACCTGCTTCAGAACTGGAAAACCTCTAGATGCAGCCATGCCGCAATGCCTCAGTCAGTCAGTCCTACACAGACCCAGTGCTTTTTACCTCAGCATGGCCCCACGCTGATGCAGCACTGCAGCTTCCAGAGCCCCAGACACATGTTGCCGCGCTTCTCCAGATGCACCCATGTGTTCAAAGTTCAAGTGCAACGGCAGCACTGATTCATTTATTTTTGAACTCATAGGAGTTTGATTATTAGGATTAAGCAGACTAGTGAAAGGTGAGTTTTAAGTAGATTACAGAGGATATTAAAAACATGTAATTAGCCAGATAATCATTATCTTCCCTTTGTGGAGAAAGGGGTGAAAGAGTCAGACTCAGAAGAGTAGCTTAACCTTCGTTCTTTAAGTTGCCATTTGGAGGAGCAGCCCTACCACAATGCCAAATGTTGGCTACGAAGGAGTCTAGGCAGACTCTGCGTCCAAAAGCAGGATGGCAGGAGCTTACAGAAAAAGCTGTTACAAACACGACCCTACCACCTCTACCAGCTCTAAACCTACCCTTTTCTAAGTAGGTCCTTGGTGCCCAGGGAGGGTCCTCCTCAGCATATGGATCGCTGTACTCCACCACAGCTGCTTCCTCCTCCTCGTAATCCTCTGGAGGTGGGGGTGGAGGTGGAGATTCATCGAACACTGGCTCATCCACAGGTGGTGGTGGTGGGGGAGTATCTGAAACTGAAAATAAGCAACAGTATAACCATGAAAATGTCTCTAGAACCATGGTAGCAGATTGAAGCAGTAGTCCCTACCCCAGTTAGTTGCACTGGCCCTAATAGTTAGAACTTGTGGAAGTACACTAGAGCCAATAAAATTCAGAGAAGGAAGGATCAGGTTCCTCCAATAAAATTATTTCCTTTTCCCTCTCTTCACAATTTCAGACAAACTTGCAGAGGCAGCAGAGAAGGCAGAATTCTGGCAACTCTTTCATCCACTCAAAACAAAAGCCACATCCAGTAATAAATCATAGCACAAGGAAGCAGCAAACTTACTGTTTTCTTGAACTCTGGCCACAAATCCCATTAGCGGTAACTGTGGAGTTACCTGTAGGATGGAGGGGGGAGGAGGAGCAAGGGATGCTGCCACGGAAATTAAAAAGAGAGAGGCATTCCATTAGAAACACAACAAAGCAGCAAACAGGAAAGTAGACGTCATCACCACTCAGACAGTGTAGCAGTCTGCTAAGAAGCTGAGATAAAAAGGCTGACATTCAAAGACAAATGGCTCAAGTGGTTTAAGCACATTCATAACCCTTACTTCAAAGAGATTATTTTCAAAATTTCCAACCCATCTCTTTTTCATAAGATTATTTTTCTGATCTGACTATGAGAGTCCCGTAAGTTGAAGTTTATCACTACAGCAATGTACTACTTTAGGAACAGACCTAACAAATGTATCAAGAGGATTCTCTCCCTATAATCCTCCTCCTTTCAAATCAAATTGATATTTATAGAGGTAACAGCATCCATGAAGCCTTAGTAATGAAAATGGATATATCTAGTTTTTTGCAAAATGTAGGCCAAAAAAACCATCAAATGAGGCAGTTATTTTAGGCAAAACAGAAAAAGTTGCCTTTGACAACTGAGCGCACTGGGAAGACACCAGACTTCTGACCTTACTGGTAGAACAAAGCGCCCTGTGCTGCTGCTGAGCCACAGGGCCTGTTCCAGACATGCTGCCTCCTTTCCTTCCCGCCCGGCTTTGCAGACCACTGCGCTGAACCCTGAGCAGCCCTTCTACTGGTACCAGAAGAGCTGTCTTTGTACAACACAGGCGAATTCACATTTAAAGAATATACTATTAACCAGTTGCAAATGTTGTAACACTGAACTGTGGTTTAAGCTAGGAATGAAAGTTTCAGATATCTAGTTAAGAAAAAAAATGGTTAACTACCTTTATCTAGTTTATCACTTCGCAAGAGTAATGCAGCAATATTCTTTAGGCACATTACAAGATTATTTTTCAGAAAGCACACCTCAGGAAAACCACAACTAAGTAATTTTCTTGTTAGTGGTGGCACACAGAAACATTTAGTCATGTCCAAAAGAATGACGGAAAAAGGTCTACACTTCATGTACACTGGTACATTGTACATTTATTTATCTTGCAGAACAGAACTAAATACATTTCAGACTAATTCCAGAGCCGGTAAGAAAACTGCCAGGTATGATGTAGTATTTTTCAGAATTAATTCACACCATCATAGCAAATGAAAAGAATTCCAGGGCATTTAAAACTCATGTCTCGAAATTTCTTCTTATTGCTTATTTCAGTAACTATTATCTGAAGTGCTTTGAATTTCTTCTGTCACTCACATTCACATTCCTTTCACAACCACACACCCCAAACAAAAAAAACCAGAACCAACCATCGTTTTTGTTGCAAAAATATCCTTGTACCTCCATATAAAGCAAGCTCCATTATCTCACCATTTAATTAGTATTTCCTGAGAAAAACTGAAATACATTTCTAATTACAGCTTCTTTGACTTGAATGACGTGACCTCTAAGAGTATTTATTCCTTCAAGTGTAACCACAGTAGCTGGAAAAAGATTTGGTCTTGCATTTTTTCAAAGCAGGAAAATATTACTGAAATGCAGTAGTATTCATGAATTCAGCATTCTTGTGCAACTATGAAGTCCCTGCCGTTTTAATTACATATGCTATAAAAACAGTTGGCTTCAAAATGTTTCCTCCATTCAATGTCAGATGCAGTCACACAATTCATATCTATCATATGAGACCAGCTGCAGTTTCCTAGGTCCCTTCAGTGCGCTTTGTTTGTATCCTATAGATATTTCTTTGAAAGAAACAACAAGGCTTTCCATGTAGAAAAATAAATCTGTTCAGACAAGCAATCCAAGCAAAAACAAAAAAACCTCTTAGTTTAGTTTGGGTCCTGTAGTTTAATCAAAACAGTGATGCTAACACTAGCTGACATCATTCCTTGTTTATTCCTTGTTTTTTTCCAGTTGGTTTGGCTTCAGTCTATGCACAGTGCAGGGACTATCATATTATATTGTCTCTATATGGTATATAATGACTCTAAACCAGTTTTGACCTTTAGGAACCAATACAATAAATATTTTACTAATAATGACTTTGTTTATAAAGTGCATCAGAAAAACTTTACCTCTGCTGTCTCAGAAGATGAGATAAACAGCTTAAACGTTCCCTCCCAGCTTCCTTCCACATCGACCATTGGCAGATTAGGAGTTCATCTACACAGTTGCTGTAAATTGATTCAGAAATGCTCAGGAGCACCTTCCACTACATTACTTCAGCCTGGTAAGAATTCAGCTATATAAACAGTGTGTGGTGCAGACCACCACCTCGATACTTGACAGCTTCTCCCACGGGGTTCTTAGCCTGTACAGAGCTCTCTACTGCTTAGATACTGGTACCTAAGATTGCAAAGTTAAAGCACTCATTACTTGGCATGGCTGGCAAGGGTGGCTTTGGGACAGACACACGCTGAGATCATTTAGGGTCTGCCATTTCTTAACATTTTCTTCTCAGTTGTTAAAAAGGTCTCACCATGAAAGAGAGAAATTATATTATCTTAGAAGTGGTGTTCAAAATAACAGGGCAAGGCAAGTATCTTTCATCCTCCTGTGAAGTGAATAAACAAAAATTACTATGCCAACACACTAAAAAATGGAAGGGGGAAAAACAGTACTGCTTTATTGCCAAACAGCCTGCAAAGAAGAACAAGCCATAGCTGGCTCCTCTGCCTGTTGTAAGGTCTCTTTTTCACCTCGTTTGTGGTTTCTCCCTCTTTTCAGGAACACTGAGAAGCAATCGCGGCCCGTGTCCTGTCACTACTAACCCTGCTCCTTCCAGACACAACAGCCCTCTGTGCGTAGGATCTTTATCAATTATGCATGCTTGAGCATCCTCTTCTTTCAAGGTACAGGCCAAAAAAACTTGGTTTAGTATAACTGCAAAAGCTAATAAATTCTGTATTCTGCTAGGTATACAAAAAAAGTCTCTTACTACAACTGTTTATTGATGTTCTATCAAGTATGCCAAGATAATGGAAGTATTTTGCTTGTGATTTACAGCTCAAGTGACTAATCACCATAATCATTTATCTTCTTTTTGGGTACACAGACTGAATTGTGGTTATGTAACTTATTTAAAGTCTAACTGGCATCTTCTGTGATTACCTATTAACAATGCAATGGTAGCTTGCAGAGAATTATCCCTTTGCTAAAGCAGAAATGCACAGCAGTTGTCAGAAACTCTCTGGATATACTGAAAATCCTCTTTACTGCAAAGGTAATCCTGAAAGGTTTCTTTTATTGCTATTACCCTTTCCTTCTTGCCTATTCCCCTCCGGCCTTCAATATGCACATAATGTGCTTAACAGATACCATATATTTCAGGCAATGGGGCTCCAATGTAGTCATATAACCCCCTCCACCCCCCATCCCCAGCAGGACTGTCCATTTCCTTCTCAAGTTAAGCACACACATCTCTTTGCAGTGTCGCTCATAAGCAGTAATATTTGAACCTGCTCAAATCCCTTAAATGCAGGCTACAGCATTTGACCTAATTCCCAGCCCATTGCTCAATTTAAAAAAAAAAACCAAACCACAAACACCAAAAACCATCACCACAAAACACATTGCAAGTCAGCGTGCAATATTCCTAACGAGGAACGCTCAGTATGCATCCTGCATCTTTCTGTAGCTTTGTCAAAAAAGAAAGTCTCCCCTACTGTGGTATCAAAACCTTCATGTCACACCACAAGCACAGGGAAACGGACTCCTCGGATGAAAAGCTACTACTGTGTTCTGCCCGACACACAGGACACGCCGTTCCTCGTTAGTATCTCAGCCTGCTTTTTAAGACAGGTCGCCCATTAGAATAACATCATCTGTGGACTTAGCAGATGACACAGCTCCTTTGCACTCCATACCAAACACCACTGATGTCTCTTAAGGTGTCTAATGCTTGCCCTTGCGTAACAAGTGCAATTTCCAGAACTGTCCATTAATCAGAAGAAAAAAATCAATCATACAAGATAAAGACTGATTAATGAAGAATCAGTGTTCTGGTGCAAAATCAAATACTCATCCCACACCAAAGCAGAAACATGGCACATGGGATAGTAAAGGACTAAGGCTTGTCTAATAGGAACTGTGACATCAAAAGTAATTTATTTGGCAACAAAGCCAGTATTGTTTTGAGCTGCTTGCCATAATGGAAACTGAACACTCTGTACTCAGACTGTGGCTTTGGCATGGCTACCAGCAAGATACTGGAAGTTACCTGTGACTAATTGCAAGATCTGCAATGGAGACAGAACATCGAGATTTCAGAGATCTGAAGGCCATGCCATTCACCACTGTGGTGAGTTCAACAGAGCAGAAACACTTTCTTACCTGGGTTCTGGTTATAAAACGGTCCTCCGTTCATCTGGTTCTGAAGGCTTGTCTGTGATGTGATCGAAGGAGGACGCCGATATGGCAAAGATCCCCCTATTGTTGGGGGGGTGTGCCGAGATGCAGGCCTGTTCATGCTGTAGAACTGAACTGGGTGACCTAGGTTAGAAAAAGAAGTGTATTAGCAAAGAGATGAATGATGCCTGCCTTGTTTATATCTGCATTCAAGATTCAAAGGATTGAAAAGGTTTTTGGTTTTTTTAAGAACGTCTGCATCCTAGGAGCAGCCAGCCAGTTTAGCTGCCAGACTGGCAGGAAACTGGATGTCTCAACAGCAACACAAAAAGTAACTCTCCCAACTGCCTGTACTCGGCACTGCTCACAAAAGCCAGTATGACAATACAAAGGTGTCTAAGCTACAAAGTTTCAAAATGAAAGAAAGTTATAACTGTAGCTAATGAAGTTATCCATTTTATATAGCGTATTATAAAAACTTCTTGCAAATTTAGTTATTTATAAATTAAAAAAATAACACTTCACAGCCCAGCAATCAAGCAACATACACATAGAAACTAACTGTATGCTATTTCCAAGATTCAGAGCTGTTACCTTCTACAACTGAAAAACACAGTATTAACGATCTTAGTGCTGTTCAGGAAATATGCAAAGAATCATCTGGGGAGAAGAGAATGTTAGAAGCTGCTTGAAGGATGGAATAAATGAAATCATACTCAAAGATCCTTGTTCAGGGAGCTGTCAATTGAAACAACTCCTTAAAAACTTGCTCTCCATTTCCTGTATCAAAGTAATTGACCCTAAATCTAAGCAAGCAATAAATGAAGCAAGACCATTAAGCTATCTGCTGTGCTCACATAAAGTTCTCTGGCTTATATACTCTATATAACAGTAAACTGGATTTGTTATACCCGTATGGGTTATTACCCTCTCAAGCTGTTCTGCCTTCACCATTTGTGCTAGATGTAAATTTCAGAGCTCTCAAGAAAACAAGGGAAGAAGGCATGGTTACTGTGGTTGAGGAGGCATGCATGCAGGGAAGTAAAGAGGGAAATAGAACAAATAAACGTGCAATTTTTTAAAAACCTGCATTGTTCTTCACTATGTTTTGACTGCTTTGCAAAACTTCACACTAGGTCAGTAAATAAAAGGCAAGTTGCTTGCCGTATTACTTTCTTATGAGAGCAAAAACATGAACTAGAGATTCACATTCCTCCTGCTTTGAACAGATACGTACATCTCAAAAAAAGCACTTTTTACAGATGAGGGAGAAGAACAGTTAACAAGCAATCCACCTAGTATACAGGCTCTTCCACATTTTTCATAATGTGTCCTTCCCATGTGTTTGTCTCCCTGTTACTTAATGCACTGGTAGAAACTGGTGGTGACTGGAGAGAAGAAACAGGGATAAGAGATCCTTAAGGACCAGAAACTACAGCCTCATAAACAGTAAACTATCCAGTCTCTTCAAATATTTTATTTCAGGGAAGCCATGCAAGCAACCTCACTATTAGCACAGGGAAACAAAAGATCTTAAAAATAGTGAGTAACCTGAAATTTCTTTTATGGAATTGTGAATGTATAGCCATTAAAATATTAATCTGTGCTTGATTTTGACTTGTCAAAAATACAGAAGCAATATGGCTTAAGAACTGGGATACTGACAGGACATCAAACGTGAAAACTGACTGAGGCCCTGTATGACAACAGCTCATCTTCTAAACGTGACAGTAGTTTAGACATCAGGATCATCTTCTGATAACAACATTCATCACAGTTTGGAAGCTTCTAGTCATAGTCATGAATTCTAGTGTAGGTATTTTCCAATTTTATATGAACCACAGCACCTTAAACTAAACATGATTTCAAGAATGCTTCTGGCACCTTGTGAAATTCTTACCGAGAGACACCAACAGCAATGAACAAACAAATTCACACCGTTGTCATCAGCCTCCACTATAATGAAAAGCAACAAGGCACATAGGGAGCTATATATCAATCTGTCTCTCTAAAGGAGATCTTTACAATGCAGGTGTAAGTCCTCATCAAAAGCTGATACAGAACAGTGTTATGGTTAGTAAGTACTACATGCTGCAACTTCAGCATGTGAGAAAATGAAAAAGGTAGTGTGATTTTGTAAGCATGAAGAAAAGCAATTTACAATATACACCATCAGTACTACCTATTAAAAAAAATGCTTATGCTTTAGTACTATTCTGCATAATGAAAACTTGTATTTTACCTGACATTGAACACAAAAAATTGCCCTTTTTATCAGTTCATTGAAAAGAGACTTTTCATTTCAAAGCATTGAAGAGACAAGTCATATGAATTATACTTAGCTAGATGAACTTTTTTTTATTCCATTACTGAAAGAGAATAATCAGGCCCAGAACTATCAGTGCTGGTTCCCCTCCTAAACATAATTATTCTGTGAGATACTCAGTATACAAACAGCAATAAAATGATCATGTAACGAATAACTATACACATGTAAAAATAATAAAATGATAAAATGATATGATTGCTGTTTATAAAACTAGCACACCTTCAGTTGTCTGCTATAACCGTTACCTTATAGTTGGGTCTTAGCAGATATTTTCTAGTTATTTAAAAAATAGTAATAATTTTACAAAACCCACTGCTTCTGAAGGAACTTTGAAAAGCCTTGGATCGTGATCACACCTGGGTTCCTCTGCCCACCAGCAGAAGACACTCACCTGCAGAGGGTGTGGAAGAAACAGCAGGGGGAGTTGGAGAGGTGAAGCCATCAGCAAGGGGCTGAGCTCCTGCAGCAGCAGCCGCAGCATCTGGGGCAGCGGAGGAAGGGGCGGGAGCGGGAGGAGCGGGGGCAGGAGCAGAGGTAGCAGGAAGGGGAGATGTGCCAGCGGAGCCAGCAGGGGCTAAGTGAAGAGAGGAGGAAGAGGTGGAGTTAATTAGGAGACATGTTAGCAAGGATTAGAGAAAGCCTTTGACTATTCAGTGTTAGCTATTTATTAGATGCATAGTATTTTAGAATGCACAAGGAGATGAGAGAAAAATGGAGCTGTTAAAGAAAGGCTCATTCCTATGTAGACTGTAAATGGGGGTCAGGCAAATCCACTTCTTCCTTCCAGGTCTGAAGGAAACAACCCAGAACTTTTCAGTGAAAGCCATTACTTTTTGATCAGTAGCACAGCTGCCTTTAGCTTTTGTACAATACTAATTAGAAAATACACAGAAGAGGAAAGCCAAAAATTTCCCATTCTTTAGTTCAGAAGCATCATGTATTCCAGATCACGCTGCAAGCCAACTGCACACTCTTCTTCACTGAAAGGGCTGAGCAAAGGAAAAAGGAGTACTAAAATCACTTCTTATTTCTGGAAAGTCTGGGGTGATTACATTGAACAAGTGTCTTTTTGTGATAACACAGTTAGGCTTGCATTAATGTACTAAAGATTTACTCTGTGCCGGCCTCTCGTTACATCTAATTTTTTAAAAGCATGCTTCTGTGTATCTGCATGAACAGACAATGAAAAAACATTTATTTGCTTAAAAGGACAAGGGAGAAGTTTCCCCCAGCCCACTGAAAAAGGTGTTGTGTCCTACCTAGCCACATGCATGCAGCCAGGCAAAAAATTCTGATACACAACTTAACATATAAAAGAAGCATTAGAGAGGACACCAGGCACTCCCAGAGAAGATACTACCTGATTCAAACTCATACTGCCAATAGCAAGCAATTTTCAACATTTGCACATTTCTGGATAATGAACTTTGAGACCTCTCTTGGGGTTTATTCAGCACTGTGTTCAGGAGACTTGCAAATGTTAAAGGTTAATGCCAAGTCAGAAAGAGGAACAGCAAGTTTCCACTTACCCGGATAGACGCTGGGAGGAGATGGTGTGGGAACAGCAATAGGAACACCCACACTTCCACTTCCACTGTTCTCTCGACTGCTGCTCCGACTACTTGGGTGGCTTCCTCCGCTACTCCCACTGCTGCTGTAAGAAACCAAAATAATCCAGGGTGTGAATATGCTTCTGCGCATGTTGAAGCGTAAGATCCTGCATACAGCACCTTCCTAATCCAGAGGAGTAACAAGGATAAAAGAAAAGAAACAAGACTTAAATAAACCTATATAAAGCTTAGTTTCCTAAAACTCTTCATTTTGACTACACTAAGGCTAACTGAAAAACCTGTTGTGTCGAACTTGCCCAAAAATGAAACACTTCCAGAACCTTGTTCCAAACCCAAAGTGTTTCAACCCCTACTGAGAAAATACAGACCTTTTTCCTCTAACTTAAAAAAATGGGTAGACTGTTTAGACTCTGATTTATATGCTTTCATATGAGACTACTGAGATCTGGAAATTATAAGACAGTAAAGTAGAAGTCATATTTTCTTACATTTTAAGTCCATCTGTTTAGCCATCCTCAAGTACTTATAATTTTTAAAAAGTAAAGACTTCAAGGGAAGCATTTAGACCTGTCACATCATAAAACTCTCACTAACCCAGAGAAAAGGCTAGCCTTCTGCAGAACCTTTAGTAATACAGTTCAGCTTTCTTCTGTGTTTGACGTTATCAGTATCCTCAAAATACAATGCCCTTTTTCAGCTACTCAATCTATAAGCGTCAGACTGTTAAAAAAAAAAGTGAACTATAAGCATACTATGCAGTCCTTCACATGTAGAAGTCAAGTTCCGTACACAGTCTTTTCCCAGTTTTGTAAGCATTTTGTAAAATAATATCACGCTCTACCTACTCGAAAGACTTCACAGTTATAGTACTTAATGAATTACTAAAATTAAGTGATAGGACTAAATTTAAGGTGACTAGGGGATTAAGTGAACAATCTTAATCTGATTCACTCTTCTGGTGTTATTAGAGTGCATTCTCGTCATGCCAAATGACATTCCCAGTCCGTATCATGAATTGGCAAGCTTATGCAGATGCATTTCAATATGAAATATCAATGCAGATGCATTTGATATTTATCGTAGTGTTTTTTGTCCATACGCTTACACAATACTAACCACACTTTGTACAGGACTACACTGAGTACCTGTATGTGCGATTCCTCTGATTCACAGAAGCTGTTCTAACAGGGCTCTGTTGTGAGGGAGCCATATTGCGTGTTGGGCTAGGCACGTAGTCATTTGGTACCACCGGAGGACGTACTGGCTCCAACGTACGATAGGGAGAGTGACGCCTACACAAGGACAAGCACATTTCACACAGAAGCAAATTAAGATGACACAGACAAAACCAAAGATTTTTCATTCTTTAAAAGATAGCTACATACTAATCAGTAACGGGAGCTAAAAAGAAATGCTTTTCTGTAAGTTTGCAGTATCTAGTTCATAGGATGACAAAAAACAATTAAGGGTGTTCTTCCTGTACTTCAATCTCCAGATGCTTTTCCTATTCATAAACTCTGTGTTGTACATCCCATTCTTGTTTTAAAAGTAATCCATATCTTGTTTTAAAAGTAAAAGTGCCATGGTTTGCATGTATATACATAATCACATACCAACCAACAACATTCATCCCAGTTATAACATCCTTTCCTGAGGTCAAAGTCAAGTTCATAGACTTAATAGGAAAGTACTTCTATCACACACAGCACAAATAATTAATGAGCGTGCCATATACTCATTTTCCAGTTGTTTAGCACCACCTGTCAAAGCCACACACTTAATGACTTCTTACTCTCAAGCATGTAGTTGTAAGTGTCCTGCAATGATAAATAGGTTCCTGTTGGGAAAAGCTGGTGATGCCCACTGTCTTCTGGCAGAAACGTGCTAACTGACATATCAGGCATGATCAGTGTAAGAGGATGCAGATAGAGCACCTCTTGACTTTTGTGAATGGTTAAAACAAACAAACAAACAAACAAAAAAACCCCAACCAAAAAACCCCCAAAACAAAACCAAAAACCCACACTACAGAAAAAGAAATAATCTTCCCTTTTTTCACTGCTGTTCACTAAAGCCATTTACATACCAGTAACTGCGCTTACCCAATAGTTCCTTTTCCCGACATTGGTGGACTTGGTGGCTTCTGGGTGGGTGGTGTTGTACGAGGCAGCCCACCCATCTTCATATTCTGTGTGCTGACCTGCATGAAAGAACAGGGAGAAAAACAGCCTTCACTAAGCTCAGCTTCTGGGGGGAGAGACACTGAGATGCCTTTAGCAATTCACTCTAAGTGGGGGAAGGTTTAAACAAACAAAAAAAATTGAGAGGCCATGCATTTTATATGCAATTTCCACTCCGCTAGAAGTCAAGAGTTGCGCTCAAAGGACTCTTTATTACACAGGGTTTTTAAAAAGTGCATATACAGAAAGTGAATTTGCCTTTAGGCTATCGCATAAACATTAAACCACTGACAATACAGTCACTGTATCTAACTTGGTTAAACCTCCCACTCATCTTTTGAGATTAAGGCAGTTATTTCAGGTTGCACTGCTGAATAGTAAATTTGCAAAAATATTTTTGAATACTCTTTAAAAATACTAAGGTTTATCTAATAGGTCTACACAATTTAATGTAATTCATACAAATATGGAGAAGTCATCTCCAAATATGAGCCATTAGTGTTTTAATGTTTTCACAGTATGACATCAAATTTTTTTACGATCATATTTGTTATAAATATTATTTATGGATACGTAAACATAGAGAGAAAGCTATATGGAGAAAAATACAAAGATGTACTTTTTTCCCCCACCAAATCTTCAGCAATTTAATCTCTATGAATTGATAAATAACTGGATAGGGAGAAAAATACTTAGCAGTGATGTGATGCAATTGCAGTTGTTTCCTCGCCCTCTTTCAGGTTAAAATACTAATGAAGTAACTTTTATATAAGAGAATTTACTCTAACATCTTTAAAAAAAAAATCATCTGCATCCTTGACTGATTGATCAGTCTACGAATCATAAACAATGTAGGCATTTTGCTTATCTGTATACTGCCAGGCAAGCACGGCTCTCTCAATGCATGCACCCTTACAGGATCAGCACATGGTCTTCTTACAAATCTCCATTAAACAGCCACGATTTATGAATGCTCTTATTTGATTAGACAGAGATATGCAACAAACCCAAGTAAGTATTCTTACATCCCTTTTTCTGTTATTCCTGTCATGCTCTGTTTCACAGTGTTTCTTATTTCCAAAAAATAAGTCTTGCCTACTGCCCCCACCTCCTGTATAAAAAAGGCACAGTGATCAAGGCATTAAGAGTATTTGCAAACATCATTAAAGGCAAATTACTCTTTTAAAATTTGCCTATAACAACTTGTTTAAAACCCTGGCAATGTTTAGATTTGTGAATTTATAAATATTAAGAACAGCTTAAAGAGTAATATATTCAGTATTCTAACCCACTGAAACTTGATCCCCTTGCTCTAAACAATCCCAGTTATCACATTTTCAATTTGCTGGGAGGAAAAGAAAACCAAGCGTTGGAAGGGGTTTTTTGTCAGATTCAAAAACACACGCTTGGGTTTAGTTGTGCAAGAGTGCTTGGCAATGTCAATTTTAGAAAAAATTCTCCTGCAGAGCATTATAAAGTCCTTTAAGCCAACTCTAAGCAACAAGAAATCTAAAGTTAGTTCAAGTGATGGACAAGGTAAGCACTGAACTACAACTACTTGAAGGGAAGAGGGGAAGTGTAATATGGAGTATATTTTATTCTATACACGGAACATTAAGAATAGCACAAAATCTGTAATTTTTTTTTTAAAGTTGCAGCACCCCCTGTATTTCCTCTTTCATCAAAGACGCCTGTCTCACCCATCTACCTACCTGAGTTGTCCAAAAAAACACAAACAAGAAAAACCCACCTTAATTAAACACTTGCTATATTTTGAACAGTGCATTAAGCTTAGTGGGGCAGGGCTTTTGGGTGCCTTTAGATGACATCAAACTTAGACCAATCTGTGTGCCCCTAGACTTCCACTGAGGGGAGAGGGGAGGAAAGCCATTAATGCCCCCCTCTTGCAAAACTTTACTCTGTTGCCTTTTCCATTTGCAGTTACGGTTGTAGAGATAAGTTTCCATACACAAATCCTCATCCACACACATTCCTCTTACAAACTTCTAAAACCCAAAGGAACCGCTAAGAACTCAAGGTCACATTTGCTGTGAAGTTTCAAAAATCTATTTTCTGGAGTAAGCTGGAATTTGCCAGAAGTTGCACTGTTTCTGGGGACAGTCCCCCTAGCGACGCACAGTTGGAATTATCCAGATGCAACTGGTTTAACTGGAGGGTGAAAGCAGAGGAATGCATCTGTCTGTTGGTGGTTGGTTTGACTGCAGGACCCCACATATCTGCGGTTGGTTTGTAGTCAAGAGCTTGCAAATTCCTTTAGGAAACTGTGTGGCAAAACAGAGCCTGCAACCAGAAACACGAAGGAGTATCCCTGCCTTTGCTCACAACTGCCAAAACAGCTAACCACTGTGCTAAAAAAAAAGAAAAAATTAAGAGAGGTAGTAATGATTTGGGCACAAAGGTCAGAGAAAAAAAAACGGCTGACTGTTCTAAAAGAAGGAAGACAACCCTGTGAACACAAGCAGTGCACAGGGTCTATGCAGAATGCATGCAGGGGTTTTTCCAGTTCTTTCTTTGCCTCTTCCCACTGAAGGAAAAAAGCAGAAAATATTACCAACCAAAATTACATGGAGGAATGCCAAATAATTCTAGGAAAATCTTGGATAAGCTTTTTTTTACTGGATACCTTGCAGAGCTTTTTACATGTGAATTAGCAAGCACCTGCACTACAGAAGAAAAATGTCTTACACCAGAGCTGTAACTGCCAGCACTGGAGCTGGAATTTTAAGTTTTGCTGAGAAAGAAACTGCATCAACAACTTAAAATAAGCAGATCCTTGGTAAGTAACACATCTTGGAGAATGCTCTGAGATCCAGCTCCACAGTAACAGCCGTAAAAAGACCTCTAAAGAAATGGAACACTATGGACCATTCTGTTTAAAAAGGATACAATAGTATTTCATCCCATATTTTGTATATTGAGCTACAGTGTCAGTTTTAGAAAAGTAACATCTGATGACTTCAGGACACAATACGGGACTAACTAAAACCTTTAGAAAATGATCATTTTAAGTTTAATTTTTTGAATAATTAAGACTTACTTGTCCACTTTCTATTTTTGGCTACTAGTTTTTCATCGATCCCAGTGATTAAATCAACTTCTTATGGTCCTACATATGACTGAGTTTCCTTCATAGTTACATTTTTATAAACATTTAACAGATTGAGCTTCTTTAGCACTCCACTGTGTAACAAATTTGTAGTGAAATAAACCGGGTAAAACTGAGAAATCCTGCAGTTCATTCAATTCTTGAGAATGTTTTCATGAGCAAAAAAATCCACCAAACAAGAAGGGCAGAAATACATAGTTGGCCAGATACAAGAGCTGGTAATCAAGCAAGCAAAACCTATTTGCACCAATGTACTGTGCGTTTACATGGCTGTAAGGCACTTACCTGCAACAAAGTTTTCAATCCATATTTTTACTCTTCTGAAGAGCATGTCATTGTTAGTTCAACTACCAAAACACTGTGGAAGTTTTCAAAAATCCTGAATACCAGATATTCCACACAATGAAACCTCTGGAAGACCTATTTTCTAACACCAAAGTTGGACTCAGACCAGAAATTTTTATATGGTGCTTTATGGTCAAATCGGATTTTCTAGAACTTTCAGGATGTCAAAAGAATCATCTTTTGCCCAAAATCTATTAAAAAAAAGTGTCTCATCAGGGATGTTCCATGGATTATGTTCAGAAACTTCAAGCAGCTACACAACCTTCTTGAGCAATTTTATACCCGACTCTAGCAAAAACCACCTTAGGCTGAATGAAAACTACCTTCCCATGCCTTGCTTCATCTTGTTAACACTACAGGGAGGATGAGCAGATTTTTGGCCCACCATCTCCTACCTCAAAGTAAAGTCCTTTTCAGGCTGTGCTCAGCCACTCGAATACTTTGCATGTCTAATGAAACCATGTTTCTCAGTTGATTAGCCAGTTGATATAGAAGTGAAATGTCTAAATTTCAACCCTGTCTTGGCAAATGACCACAAGCAGAAGCTTCGGCAAGTGAGTTTACTTGTTCTTACCACATCCACCTACGTAAAGTAATTGAAGAACCAAGTTGGGTAAATAGAAAAAGGTTTAAACAATGTCATTTTCAATTAATTTGCTGATAGGGAGACGCTACAGATACTCCTCTGACTTGTAGTTGGAATTTTCTTCAAAATCTGTTTAAAATTTTAAATTTAAACTGCCCAGACACAAGCACAGTTAGCCTTGCTACAGCTAGTCAGTTTAATATTTTAACTGTTAACTAAGACTAAGGTTTCTTTGCAGCCATTAAAAATAAATGCAGGCTAAACACTTCATACCCAATCTCTTGTGTGTGAAATAAAATTATTATTCACACAGAACTAGGGTTAATAGCCTTCTTTTGGTTTTCTTCTTTCAGGCTGATGCACAGTGACTAGTGAGACTTTAAGAGAATAACTTATGTCCACTGAGAGGTGCTGCGCTGCCTTCTGCCTTTTTTTTTTAAATTTTAAAAAACTCCTCATGTTTTGGCCATGAGAAGTTGATTGACATACTGTGATTTCCTGAATCAAATTTCTGATCAGGTTCACTCCAGTAAAAATAAAGAAATATTTTAACTGGCATCACAACAAAAGATGTTATTTTCATTCCAAACCTATAAATAGAACAAAAATAATTTTCTCTGAAAAGCTGAAAAGATATGCACAGATACGGCAGTTCACACATAATCCATAATTATATAATTTAAAAAAAATTTTTAGGATGATCATTACTTGTTTATAACTGCAACTGCAGAGAGTAACAAAGAAAACTGAGTTTGCAAATTCTTTTTTCAAGATCACTGAGAAAACCATCATCCCGTATGAACTGCACCCAGAATAAGACATATGCAGCATCAGAAGTATCCATTTTGTGTGGATAGACAGAAAGAGCCAGGGAGGAGATATATTTTGAAATTCTCAAATAAAAAGCATTTAAAAACTATGTGACTTGAAATACTGTACTTCTCTCATAGTCATGTAAAAAT